AGGAAAATTCTATGTAATCTGTATAGTTTCAAGAATCCTAATAAAGTACTAGCGTGACTGCTAAAGTTAAAAAAAAAAAAAAAAAAAAAAATCTGAGTTTTACTTATATATTATATATAACACTTTTTGAAAAAACTGAAATAAATAAAATAAAAATAAAAAAAAACACTAATCAAAGACCTAATTTCAAAAACAACTCAAAACAGATTAATACAACTTTTGAATACAGAACAAGATAACTGTTCATAAATGTAGTAACAAAGATACCTTTTACAAACAAGTTTGAAGAATATAATATAAAAGAGTTAATGTATAGAAAAAAGAAAAAAGAATAATAAACAAAGCAAAAAAAAAAAGACTAGTTAGTAAAAGATAGAAAAAACAAAAAAAAGAACAAATCAAAAAAGAAAACAAATCAAAAAAAAAGTTAGGAAGACAATTTGAGAACTTGTCATAAAAGGAAAAAGATCCTTTTATTATAAAATTTAAGTAGTTAGACAAGCAACTTACCTCTGCTAGAAGTAATGTAACAGGTTGCACTTAGGTGCCACTAGGATAGCTGGATGATGCTAGGCTTAGTTGTTAGGTATATTTATGTAATTGCAATAGTAAATCCAAAAATCTTAATAAAACACTAGCACGACTGCTTATAATAAAAAAAAAATCAGAACTGTCAAACAAAACAAAAACTATAAAAAAATTTTATTTGCTAAATAAACTAAAAAAAATTAACTGTTCAAAATTCAAAAAAATTGTATATAGTTAAATCTTTATATAATTAATTATCTTAGTTTACTTTAGCACTTTGTATTAAAGTTTACTGTTAAAATTATTAAGAAAAATACGAGCAAGGCTTCTCACCTTAACAACAAAAAAAAAAAATCGAGTGTATATAAAAATTTTGTATTACATTATAATAGTTAGTTTTAAAATAGGCGTGCTTATCGTTATAAAGAGAATTTTAACATTTATCGTTATCGTTATAGATTATACGTAAAAGTTTTACGTATACATAGCAACTGCAATGTAATATAAGAGCTATCATTTCATGAAGTTTATTGGTTCTAGTCACCTAACATTGCATAGAAGTACATTTACTTTACCTAGACATAAAGAGCCCTCCGTGTTTCGGACAATCATTCTTAATAAAGCAATAAATCGATATTAAAGATCACATCCATTGGGCCCAATAGATAAATGTGCCAAACTTTGTGATTTTGAATATTTTGAATCCGCGAAATTCCTACGTATCTTCATTATATCTATAATTTGTCCCTCTTTTTCTTTTACACAAATTTATCGCTATATTTTATATAATGATCAATTATAAATACACGTATATTAATATTAAATAAGCTTTGCATGCATAACCTTTGCAGATTAATTTCGAGTTAACTTTTTGTATGTAAATGCTAAGAAAACAAGACTTTGAATTTTCGGTCTTTGAAAAATCTGATCAGTAACATATGTTGCGTGATGAAATGAATTCGTTTTCTTCTTGCAAAGTTATTATTATTACTTAGACTTATATATATATAGAATAGAACTAATTGGATTTTTTTAAATGAAAATTTTCGCCTTTTTTAAACTTTACAGATTTTCGATGCATAATGATAATTATTATCTACATTATTCAAATTATTAACGATGGTTTTTTTTTTTATTATTTTTCTAACATTCCATTAATGTGTTTATTAAGTCAATATTTTTTATTTATATAATAAAAATAACAGAATGAATTGAATGGTATTTACAGTCTGTATTTGTCATGTCATTTTCTCCTTTGTACACATTTCGATATAAACTTTGAACTTTATTAGTCACACCGTTAACAATGTTACGTATCTGGTGATCAATCAGGAAATACAGAGATATATATCTGTAATTGTAGGTTCTCTCCTTCATAATAACAATTTTAGTTTATTTTTTTTTTTTATCAATGCTTAAACGAGCCAATTTTAAATATTTAGCATTAACGTTAGTGGTGCTTTTCTTTTTTCATTGGGCATTAATAACAAATCGTCCAAAATCAAGTTATTCAAAAGCATGGGTACCATTAGATTCTGATCAAGATCTGCCAAGTATAGTTTTTGGCCCGAACGAAACAAATTTTATCAAAGAACCGGACAGAGCAAATGCATGTTTTGTAATTTTGATTAGAAACAGTGATTTACATAACTTTAGAGCGTCTATGAGACAACTTGAAGATAGATTTAATCATAAATATAATTATCCATATGTATTTTTAAACGATGTTCCATTTACGGAAGAATTCAAGAAATATACGAGCGCCTTAACCAAAGCAAAAACCGAATATGGTAAGTGCCCTAAATAATTATTTTTATTTACTAGGTGAGATTGTTTCTGTGGCTATTTGTTTTAGATGGCTATTTGTTTTAGATAACTATATTTGTTTAGAAAAGTTATCAAAAATCAATCTTTATTATATAATAATATAGGTATAATTCCGCCCGAACACTGGAGTGTTCCGGATCATATAAATATGGAGACTGTAAAGACAAATATGGAAAAAATGAGTAAAGATGGTGTCATATATGGTGGTAGTTTACCTTATCGTCATATGTGCAGGTAAAAAATGAATTATTATGAATATATTTTATAAATATTATCTTTTTTTTTTAAATATTTATTTTTTTTTTGTTTAGATTTGAATCCGGATTTTTTTTTCAACACGAATTATTGGATAAATATGATTATTATTGGCGTGTTGAACCTGGAGTTCAGTTTTATTGTGATATTGACTTTGATCCATTTATTTATCTTAGAGATAATCATATTAAATATTGTAATTATGTTTTATATTATTTAATATATATATATATATTTTTGTGATTTCTAATTTCTAATTTTTTAAATTTTTGATAATCTTAGCTTTTACCGTTTCGTTATATGAATATCCGGCAACGATACCTACACTCTGGGATGCTGTTAAAGAATTTGCTATATCTTATCCAGACTTAATTGAAAAAGAAAATTTAATGGAATTTATATCAAACGATAATGGAAAAACATACAATTTGTAACTGTTACTATTATTATTATGATTATTATTTAGGAATTATATATTAATGCCTGAATATATATGTTTATCCAATTATTTAATATCAATTTTAGATGTCACTTTTGGTCAAACTTTGAGATCGGTGATTTGAATTTATGGAGAAGTGAGGCATATAGAAAATTTTTTGATTTTCTTGATAAGAAAGGAGGATTTTTTTACGAACGGTTAGTTTAAGTAAAATTTTTTTTTTAGGAGTAATTTTTATTTTATCCTAATATTTATTTTTTTTATAATAGCTGGGGGGATGCACCAGTCCATTCAATAGCTGCAGCACTTTTCTTAAAGAGACACGAAGTACATTTTTTCAATGAAATTGGATACAAACATGAACCTTTTATGCATTGTCCTAAAGAAGAAGAACTACAAGTAAAATGTCACTGCGACCCTGGCAACAGTTTTGGTAAAGTTATAATAAAATCGCTAATTGACTTTTATTCGTAAATCAATCTAACAATCAATTTTATACATGGTTTTTTATAGATTTTCATGGATACAGTTGTACTGGAAAGTGAGTATTTTGAATGTTAGATAATTGATCTTAAGGTCCATAGTTGTATTAACATATTATTCGGTCTAATTTAACAGATTTCTTGAATTGGTAACAAAATGGAATTTAGAGAAACTTCAGAATAGTAGTAATGTTTAAAAAAAAAAAAACTAATTAAAAACTCTTATAATTTGCATTATTAATAACCATCATTTTTCCGATATGTAAAAGATTCCCAAATTAGATTTATTAATGAATCTTTTAATAACTTTTTATTTTTTAAACGGAAAATACATCGAGTTGTTAACCCTCAATGCAAATTAATAAATAAGAATTATGTGTATATACTGGCAACACTTTTTAACAATTTAAATTATTATATAGTTCTATATAATTTTTTTTGATGTCCAAAAGGCCATCCATATATGTTTTAAACATATTATTTAAGATCGATTAGATTCCGTTAATTTTATCATAGTTTGAATTACTTCTTCAGGTGAAGTAACATGCCAACTCGCTAATGTCTTTTTATTGGGAAGCCCAATGGTAGTTGTGAAATAATCTAAATCGTTAAAGTCGGGTGATCTTTTCAGTGCTCGGAACATATCCTCGTCTGTTCTGTCATCACCCGCACAAAATACGAAATCTACGTCTTGCATGCTTGTCACCAAACGCTTCACAATTTCACCCTTGAAACCAACATTATATAATTTTAATACAAAATTTTTTTTAATTGATATTAATAAATCTATTTACCAACCTTATTAATTAATGTTGGACGAACTTCAAGATTTTTCTTGCCTAATAAAATTTCAACCGGTAATTTTGGTAGAATTGCGCTTTCCAAATGATTTTGGCATTCTTTAGCTTGGAACGCACTAATTAAAACCAATAGATATGTTCTAATTAGTAAAAGTATTTAATTTAAATTAAAATAATTAAATAATATAAAATTACCCATATTCAGGATCTGCCTGACGATAATGCCATGTAATTGAAGAACGTTTACGTTCAATAGATGAACCTTGTGTACGTTCAGTGAAATAAGTGAAAATCTCATCAACATCATTCTTCCAACTCATATCAATATCTTCAGTGAGATTGATCCATTTATCACTTTCAGGATACTTTAGGAAACAACCATGTTCTGCACTATAAAATTCGTTTAATTAAATTTTAATTAACATGCTTTTATTAATTACTGATAGGTAAAAAGTTACTAACCTAAAACCGAGTTTCTTAATATTGCCAAGCCATTCCTCCAATACATCCTGATCACGCCCAGACACTATCCATACGGTATTCTTTGGATCATCCACGAGTTTGCTTAAAGCCTCAAGCATATGTTGTTGTGGCACTGCTTGACTCGGAGTTTTTACAATTGGTGTGAGCGTACCCTTAAGTAAAAATAAAAAAAATGAATAATATTGAATAATTATGAAATCAAAGAATATAAAACACTATTAAACATATAAATTAAGTAAATATTTTACATCATAATCGAATAACAACAAACGATTTTTAGAGCTTTTATATTTTTCCAATAAAAGTTGTACGTCAAGATGAGGAGTAATATTTGTTTGATTATTAATATTTAAACTGTGAATAAGTTCTTTGATAAAAGATTTTGCCCAAAATTGAGCAGTATGTATAGTCACATGTCTGTATAATTGCTATAAAAGGGAATAATTATTCATAAAAAATTATGGAATTTTTTTTTTTTTTTTTAAAAAAAAAAGAGATATATAAATACCATATGTTTATTTTGTCTTTCATCATCGCTCATAGTAAGAGCGTCATTTATGGCTTTAGCTACACCACTATAATCCCATGGATTTACCATAATAGCAGCACCCAAAGAGCCAGCCATTCCAGTAAACTCACTCAAAATAAGTGGGCCATAATTTTCTTGTTGACACATGACATATTCTAAAGAAGTAGTATTCATTCCATCACGAACCGATGTAATCAAACCTATATCAGCAACACTTAAAAGGGCATAATATTCATGTTGTTCAATTTGACTATGATGATGATGAACAGGAGTATAATCGAGAGAACCATAAGTGCCATTTATATGAGCAATAAGCTCGGCAACTCTACGCTCAAGTTTAGGAGAGTCAGTTAGAGCAGGAGAAGTAACTTGAATTAGAACGACCTAAAAAGAATAAGGATTAATAGTTAATAATAAAATAATAATATATAAATAAGAATTAATAATTATTAATCAAATAATATATATTAACCTTATGTTGCCATTCAGGATATTCAGATAAAAACTTTTCAAAAGCGTGTAATTTTTGAATTACACCCTTAACTAAATCGAGCTTATCTCTACCAACAATAATTTTTTTTCCCGAGTGTAATTCCCTTAGCGAATCAATTTTTGGAGCAACTTCGGGATTTTTTCTTTGCACTTCTACTCTTTCAGCATCGATACCAATTGGAAAAGGACCAACAGATACTATTGAACCTTTAGCATCGACACCACTTGGAGTTGATTCATAACCAAGAATACGAGTACAATTGCTTATAAAATGTCTCGCATAAGAATATGTCTAAAATAATATAAACCAATAATAATAATAATAATAATAATAATAATAAATTATATAATGATTGTTATTATTATAAGATTAAATACAGAAAGGTCAAGTAGTGTTGTTAGCTGACTAAATCATCGGTAGATCAACTCCTAATATTACACTTATTTAATAATGAAATATGTGACGACAACTAAGTCGGCTAATAAAACTAACATACCTGAAAACCAACTTGGTTAGCACCTAACATACCATCTAGCATTTCTTTCCTTTCTTTGGATTAATGAAAATATACAAAATATTAAAAAGCAAGAACATATAAAAGGGAACATAAATAAAAGGAGTCAAGACTTACGCGGTAAACATCTAAAGATCTCTGAACTTGGAAAAGGAGCATGTATGAAAAGGCCAATAGCGGCATCAGGAAGCGAATCACGTAACATACGAGGTACCAATAAAAGATGGTAATCATGAATCCAAACTATATAAAAAATTTTAAATGATAGATTTAATAATGAACACAATAATGAATGTAAGAATTTTATGATCATCATAATAATAAAATAACATACCTAAATCATTTGGGCGATGAATTTCTTTAATTTTGTCGGTAAATGCTTGATTGACAGCGCGGTATTGTTCCCAGTTTTGATTTTCTTGACGACCATCAGTTGCGGTATCCCACAAAATATAATGAAACAACGGCCATAATACTATGACACGTATAATCAACAAAACACGAACATATAATCTGCAGGATAATATTGGTAAAATCAACAAGCGTATGGGCATCACGTACCAGTTTTACAAAAACCCTCATAATGGCCGTGATGTTGCTCATCTTCAAGGAATACTGGCACAATTTTTTTTTTCAATAAAAAGTCTTGCAAACTTTTCTTAAGAACCTCGGTAAAAGAAGTATTCTCAATTAGCTTTTCTTCAAAGTCAAAAATTTGACCTACGAAACCAATGTGGTAACTGTCCCAGTCTTTAGCTAAGGAAGAAATTCCAGCGTAAAGAGCCGAATGGCCCCTTCGTTGTCTTATAGACCAATTATATGTAATAGTACCATCCTCAGAATGTTTTGGAGGTTCTAACATATAAGTATCATAAGGGATCAAATGAGTCACGTTAATGATTCGGGTATATTTTGAGTTTGTAGAAGTACTAGCCCCATTGGAGATGGCAGTAACGGAAGATTTAAGAAATTGCGAAGAAGGCATGTTCATAGAAACGACTTTTTAACAAATTCGTTACGAAGTGTATATATATATATATATATATATATACCCTATATATATATGTATTTCTAATTAAGTTAAAAAAAAATAAATAAAATACTTTTTACAAAACTATGATGCAACAATGACTTATGTTTTTTTTAAAGGGGGGTCAATATGACTATTGCATCAGAGTCTTAAATTTATCGTTATCTTCTTAGATATCAAGTACTGTATCATTCAATTACCCATACCTGGTATATGGAAATATAGATGTTAGAGCCGTTTGAAACTAAACCGTCCTCTCATATCTTGTACAACAAATATTTGGAAATTTACATGATACAGATTTGTTTGATATTCTTATCTTTTTCAAAAATCACCTAAAGTTCATATGAATATTAAACTTTAACAGATTTCATATCTGATAACTAAAGTTTCTGTCACGCCTTAAATGAATTAACCCTTATTGGTGAATTTGTTATCTTATTTAATCTTTTGGTTTTATCACGAAAGACGCGAAGATTTAGCATTAAGCAATAAAAAAAAATTCAGCCAATTTTTAAGTCTTTATTCAAAAGTAATAAATAACTGAATACGTATAATGATTCTTTCAAAATTATATTATGTAGATGTGTTGTTATAAATATCTAATGATTAAATAAATTTAGAAAAAATGAAGATCGTGAAATAAGTTCATAAGGTCGCTCGAAAAGGAATCATTTTTTATAACCCAATGCGTTTTCCATGAATTATCATCTTATCTAAAGTAATGTGCTAAAAAGAGCTCATTTACAATATACGTATACTTGATTAAGTCTGAATTGATGCTGGTAACCAACGAATCATGATTCGAGACCTCCGTAATCGACAATCATAATTTATGTTCGCATTATTCCGTGTCTATATTAAAAATTACGGAGTATTCCCCATATAAATACATTCCTAAATGTGTAGTACAATCTCTGGTGGTTGTACGCCACAGATGTGTACTTTTGTAGACAAACTTACATGGTGTCCAGAAATGTTTATATCATCACCCAAAATAACGCCCAAAAATAACGCCCGGCTAAAGATATTTTATTAAACATCATTCTCGATTAATTAAACTATTTTCAATACATATTCCGTCAATCGTCTCTGACAAATTAGGTATTTATATTGTCATCCACGCTTTAAACCCTGATACCATTGTCTTTCTATATCGATAACTCTTCGTAGCGATTACACTAACTCTCTATATCGTACACGTAGATGAAAACGTAAATGTTTTTGGATCAATTGTTTCATTGACCTTATAATATTGACCATATCGATATAGATTTGACATATATTATATATAGCTGTCATTTATGCTATGTTTGTTTTTATGACAAAAGGTGCTCTCAAGCCACTCCCTCAATATGGCAACCAATGCTCTTTGTAATGATGTGCTGAGTAACTACGATCGTACCACTAGGTTATTTCCCCTCCCCATATTTAAGCATAATAAATTTATCTTAATTGGCTTTAGTTATATCTCACAAAAAAAAAAATTTAGAAAAAAAAGTCAATGATATGACTGTATACCATATAAAAAAAGATACGTATCTGTTCTCTAACATTTATTATTCATCGAAATGACTAATTAGTTGATTTCCAACTTATACGTATATATATAATTAAAATTTTGCCTCCGATCCATTAAGTGAGATTCTTGGGGTCACTCCTAATGTTAGCGTACTGCATGTATGATCTGGAATGTACGTAATGTACATATCAGGAAATGTCAAATTTTATTTCTCTGATTTACACGCAGTGTAACTATATGTACGCTGTAAATATATGAACTATTGTTTCAAATCTTGAAAACAAACCAGTTTACTATTGTATACTACGTAAAACATCTTAAAAAATAAATTTTACAAAAGCAAAATAGAAACAAATATAAAGTTAATTGTATTAGAAGCATAGAGTTAAAATCTACGATCACTTAGTAAAAAGAAAAAAATTCTTAATATCTTGTGATTTACACAACTGATTTTAATGATTTTATTATCATATCACGTTTTACAACTTTAATTAAAGATTCAACCGATATTTACTTAGTAAAAAAAGACACTTTCATTGTAATGAATTGGAGGGATTGGACCCGGGTAGAAATTGTTGCTATATGATTACCCGAAATACATAATAAGTTACCCGGGTAGAGATTTTCTCAACGGGACAGTATCGATTTACTGGCACGTGATTGTCAGAGGTCAATAGTCTTCGAACAAAAAAAGCTCAATCATGTTAGGGTTCATGTGTATTTGAGGATTATAAAGAGCTAACTAATAGTAAATTTGCATGAGCAACTTTCTATTAGAATCCCAAAAGCGGTTTACTAATAAAAACGTGATTTTTACAAAGCGAACGTTTGTTTTAAAATGTTCTACATTACACCAAATCCAAATTCTTAATTAGCCAATTAATCTCGGAAATCATGTAACCGGAAAATCGATCCTATGCCTAAATCTCTAATTTCATTACCGTTACTATAAAAAATTGATTTTATTTTTTTTTTTTAATATTAAGATGAGTATTTACAATTTAGGATTTTATTAATAATATATTTAGCTAATAGTTGCATTACAATCACAAAGAGCAATTATAAAAAAATGTACAACTAATTACTTATACAAGTTTAGTTATTATCTAATTTAAATAGTCTGCTTAAAGGTTTTACATTGGTTATTATACTTAAAACCTATTTTTGAGTTCTTTATTTAAATATTCTGATTTCTGTATTCATTTACTTATTTTTTTTTTTTGGTATTAAGGTGACCTCTTTGGTCTTTTGATTTTTATTAATCATTTATCAATATTGTGGTTCAATGAACCATTACAGAAGAGCATACAATTGGTTACATATGTAACTTTTTTATATTACCTATTTAAGGAGTCTGCTCGAAGGTTCCTTACTAATTGCTATACCTAACATCCCTGCTTGGGTGTTTCACTTTAAACCTTCTGAACCTGTAACTTGTGTTATTATCACTGGTCATCTCAGATGTACCAGATTATTATCTTCAATCTTAAGACTAATTTATCCTTAAGGTAAACTCCTCAGAATCTTCTGTACCCATTTTTATAACTAACTTAAATATCGCTATAGCAGAATCAACACTTGTGGTCAGGGCTAACCATTAAACTGCTATGTTCTTGTAGAGTTTACTTAGACTCTAGCATCTACTTTATAGCATAACCTCGATACTTTAGTATACCCTTGCCTTTTCCCCTACTCTTTTACCAAACTCCCAATCAAGTTAGTCTATATAGAATTACAACCAGTCTATCAGTATATCTGATCGGTCTGATATCCTTTTCCTTCAGTTTGTTCTGATGGCCTGGTTGGTGATACCTCTGAGACTTCCAACCTAAAGGTTCTTATCTATTCAGTTACTGGAACTGAGTACTAGACCTAGGTATCTGTTTCGCTAAGCTAGTCTTTACAGTAGAGTCATCGAAAATCCAGTTACCTCTCTAGTCAGGTCTTCCCAAATAAACTTCTTGTTACCTAATTTTAATGGATTTATATGACTACAAGAATTTATCTAGTGTTTGTACTACCTGATTTGTCAGTTTGCATTCTTTCATATAACTTCAACATTACATGGATGTCCCATGACCTGCCAGTCATGCTGGTATAACTGCCATTATAGGTATCTTAACCCAATCATTAGTAATAGTTGCTGTAATACAAATATTACATAGGTGATTATCCGAATTTTTGCCATTGATGGGATTTGAACATCCAATCTACTACTTGAAGGGTTGACAACCTGACTACTTCACTAGGTCGCTACATCCTCTCATTTACTTATTTATATTTATTAATTGTTTTAGTTATTATTATATTTTTTTTTGTTTTTACTAAGATTATTGATTATTGATAATTACTGTTTTTATTGTAATTTAATTATAGTTACATAACTTATACAAAGTAAATATACAACTAACCATATATATAGTTTTTGATTATCTATTTAAATAGTCTATTTACAAGTTCTATATTAATTGTTATACATGTAATTTGCTAAAAAATTATCTAATTAAACATTTTGATTTTATATTATACTTAATAGATAGTATACAAGTTCTTATACACTTAAGTATTATCTAATTTAACCTTAATCTTTTTTTCTTTATATCTATTAAATCATTATATATTTCAGAATACATTACTTAATTATAAGGTTTTAGAAGGCCTTTTTGCTAACTAATTATTCATATTTAGTTCTTGTTAACAGAATTTACTTTTACAAAGTTTATTTAGACTCTAATACTAATTTTACAACATATTTCTAGTATTTATAGTATATCCTTACTTTTATTATTAAACTTTCAATCCAAATAGCCTAAAAAAACTATAATCTGTTTTTAATATATTAGAGTTATTATATTAATATTTTTTCTTTAATTCAAAACTTTTAGTAGTTTAATTAGTAGTACTTTTTACTTAAAATTCTTGTTTATTTGATTTTTTTATATTAGTATTCATTTTTTAAATCTAGTTTTTATAATAATACTATCAAAGATCTGTATTACCCTTTTACTTGAGTCTTCTTAAATAGGTTTTAGCTTCTTAGTTTTACAAATTTATACAATTACAAATCTTATTTTGAGTTTGTACTACCTATTACTAGTTTAGATTCTTCTATATAACCAATTATACAAATATTCCATAACCTACTAGTTATATTATTATAATCATAATTACAAGTATATTATTCAAATTGATCAACAGAATAGATATATATACAAAAAATTTAGAGGATTGAGTCACTCTTTCTACTGATCACTCATATACAAAATTTGTAGAAAAAACATTTAGAAGTTTATCAAATATGACTGTCTAAACTAACTTCATAGGTCTAAGAAAAAAGATAAAGTTTACAAAGAAGATATAGCAAAAGTAATAAGAAGGAAATAAATAGTTTAGTAAAAGCTATAAAGAGAAAAATGCCTTGGTCAGCACTTTG